TCAACAACATAATAAAAATAGATACCCCAAGGTATCTATCTTTTTTTTCACGGCAGACCAACCCATCATAATCATTCCCATACTCTTGTAGAATACTCTTTTAACACTAATTGCTTTAAATACTCATTTTTTCCTCTAACTATTAAAGATTGGAACTCGCTGAAACCCACCTTAAGCACTGAATCATCCATAAACTTGTTTACAGCTGCGATTGAAAGCGAATTGCTTGCCTCGCAAATTGCACTAACATCACATCATCAATATACAAAATAAACGAGTCAGTGTCATATTGCTAATACAAAAGTTTTGTTTTTTATGATTGTTATTTTCAAGTGACATGTTTTTCGATTAGTTTATTGTTCATAAATTTATTTGAATAAGTTATTCAATAAAAATGCCTACTTGTTTTCCCGACCCCATATTACAAATGCACGCATTATCTTTTCGCGGTCGTTTTCAACGATAACCTAGTTCATGATTTTGTTTTGCTATTACTAAAATTGTTTGATTGCGTGTTCTTTAACGGCAATGTATAACCTATGATTTGCATGTAATTTTGTAACACCGGCTTTTTTGTGTTTTCTATCAATATGAATCTGTGTAAACAAATATTCGTTTTCATATGCCTTCCCTGCTATAATCTCTGATGAGATTGGCAGTATTGTTAAATAAATAAATAAATAAATAAATAAATAAACATTATTGCTGTAATGGGAGGCTAGGGGCAGTTCACCGATTAGAGAGGAGCGTTTGCGTCCTTTAGTGATCGTAACGCTGACAGAGTGCCTGGGTGTTCATTTATTCCGTTTTTTATCGTGTTGAATTTGTAGATAAACTGAGATTCCCGTTGTTCCCGTTCTCTGATTGTTCGGAAATTGCTTTCCAATAGTGTAACCCTGATGTCATCAAAGCTGTGGTCTTTTAATGTAGTGTGTTTTGAAAGTGGAAGACCTGGCAGGGAACGTACATGGACCCGATGGTTGTTGAATCTAATTCTAAACGGAGTGTCTGGCCCACGTATTGCATGTTACATATACCACATTCCAGAAGGTATATGACGTTATCCGAGTCACAGTCCAGTGCACCTCTAATCCTGTGCTTAAAATCCGAGTGGGCGCCACTGTCGTTGTCTGCATCTGTTTGCATCCCTTGCATCTGTTTTTTCCGCAGATGCAAGGGATGCAAACACATTCAAACAGAGTGTCGTCCTTGCTTTTTCCGCAAAGACGACACCCTGTTTAAGGTTTCACGCTTATCTTTGAATTTATCAAATGATCCTTTACACTTTTCGGCCGCCTGTATACAACACAAGGAGGAGAAGTGAAAATTTTGGTTAGTCGCACGCTCTGTTGCAATATGTTAAAGTGTTTTCTTATAGGAACTTGTTTATGTTCGGAAGGTTTCTCATGAAAGTTAATAGCAAATTTTTGTTACGATGCTGGTCGGTATCTTTTTGGTGGTGTAGAAGAGTCTGGCGGTCCAGATTTTCCGCTTTTCTGATGGCGACATCAATGATAGCTGGCGGGTATTCTTGATGAAGGAGTACTTCGCACATATGTGTGCTGTTTTTGTGGAAGTCCTGGGTGCAGGAGCTGATTCGTCGGAATCTGTGTGCTTGGGAATAGGGAATGCTGGTCTTGTAGTGTAGCGGGTGGCAGCTTTTGAAGTGCAGGTATTGTTGCCTGTCCGTAGGTTTTCTGCATACGCTAGTTACCAACGCACCATCGTTCATTCGAATAAGTACATCAAGGAAGCTTAATTCCGTGTTAGAGTAGGAGTGTGTAAAATAAATGCTGGGGTGCACTTGGTTAAATGCCTGTATGAATTTGAGCAGCTCGTTTTCCGAATGTGTCCAAATCATGAATATATCGTTTAGGTACCATTTATAGATTAAAGGTTTGATATCACAAGATGAAAGAAAATTGTACTCTATACGGTGCATGAATATGTTAGCTTGTACCTATTGCCGTGCCATTGATTTGACGGTAGCACTCATTGTTAAATTCAAAGCTGTTCAATTCGAGTAGAAGTCTCATTAAAATTTCAATTACTTTGGGGTTGTGTGTGACATACGCTAAGCGCCCTTATAGCATCGTCATGGGGGATATTTGTGTAGAGTGAATTAACATCCAATGTTACGAGAAATGCACCTTCTGGAATTTCCACATCCGATATTTCTCGAAGCAAATAATTTGTGTCACGCAAGAAGGACTCATGTGTGGGCGGTCCCTCCTTATGAATCTTCGGTATAGCATGTAAAAACGACCAGGCGCCGAATGTATCGTAGTAAGTGCCTTTTGAAGCTTCGAATCAATGGCGCATTCACGTGTGAGATCCTCTAGGGTTGTTACAATAATTTTTTGTGCTCAGTGGTAGGGTCCGAGTCGAGGTGTTTGTAGAATTGTTTGTCATTTAGTTGTCGCCTGCCTTCCTCGATGTAGTCCGATCTATTCAGAACAACAATCACGCCTCCTAAATCTGCTGGTTTAATGACGAGATCTTCGTGGCTGCTCAACGCGAGTAGAGCCTCTCTTTCCTTGATATGTTATTCATACTTGGTCTGTGCATTTCATACGCATGTATGACACGGTTCAGAAAGACGGTTCGGAAAGATATCATACATGAGTACAAGGTGCATAGACCAGGTATGAATAACATAGACGAAAATGCTGTAGGCCCATGTGCTCAGATTTAGGTGCACGTTAATTAACCCCGGGTGGTCGAAATTTCTGGAGCCCTCCAGTACGGCGTCTCTCATAATCACATGGTGGTTTTGGGACGTTAAACTGCGCGCGATTTAAGGAAACGCTGTGTTCAAGTATATGTTAAAAAATGGCAGTGGCTTAGCTCAGCTATGCCAGGATATACGTAGCGTTAGCAAGGGTTCAGCTGATTATTCTTAGCTTTCCAGATATAATGCTTACAGCTGTTCCAATGACACACACACGGTATACGTATTATTTGGCACATGTATATTTATTTTGCCGGGCAACTACTTCGGGATCCGATGAGTTAAGCTTCTCCGCTCTACTGGACCGTTGAGCAGCATTTGCACTCTCCTTCTCCATGGCTATACCACAGTGGCAAACACCAGTCAGAGGCGCTATCAAGCGGCTCCAGTGCAGTGTCAGATGGCGACTGCACAGGGAAGGTGCGCGCGTCGGCGTCCCTATGTCTACCAAGGCTATGACGGCACTCCTCTGGAAAGCGCACACCGGCGGCGGCGAGTCGCGCGCGGCTGCGGCCGAGTGCGAGGGAGGTGCCGGCTCCGGTGCGTGACACTACTGATCGTCTGCGCAGCGCATCGAATTGCACGCACACCGGCGGTGAGCCACGCGCGCCGGCGGCGGAGTATCATTGCGCATGCGCAGACCAGTGCCACGCGGAATTGGCTCAGCGAGGCCAGTGTAGCTAACGCTAGAAAACTTCAGTTATCACAACGGTTAAGTCATGATGATCGGTGGTAGCCGTCGCGATGAAAACGAGACACTAGGCGTCAACGTGGCTGTGTCCAGGTCAAACGGAGCTATTTCTGCGAAACGCCAATAGAAATTTTAGAGGCTCTCATATATACCACTACATGATAAGCACTACTTCTATGAAGACACTTTTCAGTTTTTTTGTTATAGCGATCCTTATGACGGGGGGATCAGCCATGTTTTTCTTTGCAATCTGTTAGTATATATTTTATGATATCCATGACGGAAATACGCCAACAGAGCCATGGTGGACGCCGGCGTTAAACACTTTCACGTTAAAAAAAAATGCATACCATCTTTCCTAGGGGCTTCTTTTAAGCAACCATATTTAAGGGTACCCGCCTGTGGAAAACCAAGAACTTGTCTTTTATTTTTTATTTGCGAGAAAGTGTGCGAAAGCATTCACTCATTTACTGCGTCGGAATTGCTTTGTATTCACAGTAGGATTTTCTGTGTTCGAGAAAGCAGTCTCTACGCGGTTCAAGACATTCTATAGCTAATTCAAGTGGTCGCTTCACATTTTCATCAACACGTGTGTTCTGTACACGCAAATCAGTTTGGGACGCATTTCCCACTGAATGTTTACTTGTTACTTTCCTAATGTCCAAATTTTAAGAGTCTGAAATGAAAAAGAAGCGGGCATAAACAGCCCCCTGTGAAATAGACAGACAGGACGGCCAACAGTCCGTTGGCAATGGACGGGGACCAAAGTCAAACTAAAAATATATATATATCCGGGGCCGGTGCAAGTAGAGATACTGTATATGCTACCTAGGGAGCATATACAGTAACTCTAGGTGCAGGCGGGGCACTGCCCTCCTGTGAAGCAGTCAGGCAGGGGGGGGGGGGGGGGGGGGGAGTAGGAGACTTTTAGCCTCCCGTACTCTCCGCCTATGACCTGGTGGCAAGATACAATTTGAATATGAATATTTTTGTAGGACATACAGTGCTCGACGTCTGCCTTTGTGTTACAGGTTTCTTTAAGAAGCTTCTACATCTAGGCACATTTTAGTAGAGATGGACACATCAATACTCTTCTCGGTGGGTTATTTTCGCACGCAACAGCGACCTCTTACCGTATAATTAGCCGATGTCTACGTTGAAGTCTATTGTAAACCCCTTTCGCGCGCGCGTGTGTGTCAGATGTTATTACTGTTCTATACACCGCGATTACAACGGCAGACAAGGCTAAGTCCTAATGAGCTTCGCCCCTAGAATTCCTTCATAAGATGTTTGAATATCGCGGTTTGTATCAGAAGCTGTGAGCCCTGGAAATACGGAAGGACGGTAGGTCGAAAAGAAATCTTCACTTGGAAGCAGCGCAAGCTCCGTTCATCTCATACTTCGTTGCTGAAGAAATCAAGAAGTTTTACAAACGAACCGTTAACGTTTAATCTGTGTAGGCGCATACTAAATTGGTAAAGTGGGATAGTCCCGGGGTTTCACCTACTGCGCAGCCGCAACTGAGCCGCGCCGCCGCCGTCGCCGCCTACCTGCCTCTGCGACCGCTCCGGCAGCTCCGGCCCCTGCCAACGGCGTTGCGGTTCGTTTTCTAGGTTTAGATTCACTTTCGTTTCTGTGCTTGTGCTGCCCTGTCGCAAGCATAGTAAGCATCATGATACGCCAATGTAATAGCTATATTTTAAACCTACTGCCGCATAAAAGAAGCTGTGTTTCGTAGAAAATAGTTTGCGAATGGAGCTATGATTTCGAGTCGCATGACCGACAAACGGAAAGCTGTTGTCCAAATGGGCCTGTCCTTCGCTGTGATTGCGACAGATGCGGCCGTGTGAACCCAATTTGGTTTTAACATAGTAAGTACTGCTTGCGAAATGCTTTCTCGTTGCGCTGCGCTTGGGTGATTCATTTGAAGTTCTTTTCCGAAACCTGTGGCTGCTCTTACGTTCGCGACAAAATTCATTCTTGCTCGTTCGTGCAGCTTTCGGCGTTAATTATAGCCGCTACGTGCTTGTTTCGATTTGCCTGACCTAGTTCCCACAAAATTAATGAATCGATTGTTGTGTTGAATGCGAGACCTGAATACAGGAGAACTGTTTTACGCTCCGCTGTTATCTCAATGTTTGTGAACGACGCTAGACGCCGTATTCTGGAAGCATTGTTTGTTTGTTTTTCTGTTCATGACCTCGGTTATTGGCTTGCTAGATCCCGGATCAGCCTACTAGCTTGACCTAAGCGCCTGTATATCTGATAGATGCAGCAACCAATCAGCAGCGCGACATGCATTATCTGGACTGCCTATGCTCGTGATAAGCAACATCTAACAGCTCGCGCTGCCGCTTGTTGATCCTCCTTAACGTGCCGATAAAAACAGGTGACTGTGGCGGGAACTTCATTCCTGCTTTCATTGGATTGGTCAACCACTGTCATGTCATATTCATCTTTTAGCGGAAGCGCGCATCTTTTCATTGATTGGTCACTGGCTACGTCACCACGTGTGCTCATGCAAAAGAGTATACGCGTATTGTGCAACTTTGACTGATGGTTAATTGTCTTGTGCCTGTGTTTAGATGGGAGAGAGGGAAAGGTTCGTGTTCAGTTGGTGGTTAGGCTGCGAGTTTGCTTATGTGGACTCCTAATAGTTTGACTGCACAATTGCAGTGTGCGCGTGTGTGCGCACGCGCGTGCGTGTGTGTGTACGTGTGCGTGCGTGTGTGCATGCATGCATGCATGTTCCGTGGCTGAATAACAAAATGTCTGCAGTAATTTTCCAACTGGTGCAAAAATGGATAGAAACCAGAGAGATCTATCCATTTTTAGCTCACAGCATACTTCCCTGAATTTGTAGCCTTTTGACATGTTTCAACTTTTTATTTCTCAACATCTACCCATTGCACTCATGCATTGCAAACGTTTAACTTGTGAGAACGGCACTGTTGTACAATGTGATGTAGTACTATTCTATGTATGCACTTTTCTTTTCTATGAATTGTTATTAAGAAAATAAAAAGTTTACATTCACCAGACTGTCATGAAGCTACAAGAAATGAACAGACTTGTACTTGAAAAAAGACTTCGTTGTTGAGAAAGTTTGTCCAGGTACAGTAACCGAGATTAGCACCACCACCTCGAAAGGGCCATCGTACAATAGAGTGAACAAACAAGAAGGCTAGCAATTATCAACAGCATGGTAGTGAATAAGGGGTCAGTATGAATGCCACATTATTATGGTATCTTTCCAAATAGTGTTGCTAAATTGTTTTCCACTAAGGAAAAATGGAATGCCTACAGTGAATTGTGTTTTTCAACACTGGACAAGACACAGGCTAGACTGAACAACCTTTTTAAAGGGTTGGTGCCACCAAATTTGTGGCATACATGTTTTTTGTTGCTGTAGACAATTCCTTCAGCTCCAAAAAGCATTCGTGATTTTCGCAAAGTAATGTAATATTGCTCTACTTATATGGACCATTTTAGATTTCGGTTTCGTGGCGCCGAGTTCGGCAGTGACTTCGATGCATAGGTGGCTTGGTCACGTGACCACACAAGGCTATGGCGTGCATCATGTCGAGTTTTGTCTGCTCTCACACACACGTGCCACACCAAGCGCCAGCAAAACAAGCATGCTGACAAGCGCCATGGCCAGCTGCAGTAGCATCCAGGCAGTGGCAAAACGAAAGGCAGCCAAAAAGAAACAAATCGTTTATATTTACAACTTATGTACAGAATGTCAACGAGGAAGCCGCCTGATGCTAGATGCGCCGGCCTTTTATAGGCGCCGTTGTCCGTGAAGGATGCGTTGAGTGTCTTTTTGAAAGTAACCAGTGTCCTTGATGGATGCACACAGTGTCTCTGCAAGAGACGCCAGCCCACTCGTAACAGCAGGCGTGCGAGTTCTCTCCTTGTTCACTACATGCTTACCCATCTGTTGTACAACACAGCTCTTCAACAAAAAGATCATAGCCAGGTATTTGGCAAAGAACAAAGTCCATTCAGGCACTTCGTTGTTGTTCGTCTCGGGAAAACTTGTGCAAACTCGCTGGGTCGCCGAATCTGCTCGGGCAGAAGTCTAGCACAAATAGCATACAGGCATGGTTGCTATGCGGGCAACTTACCGGATGCCTTCAGCACTCGAGCACACTAAATGCCTTCGCAGGTTTCGATGCGTAGCACTTAGCCAAGAAGTGATCGAAACTTGGCGAGTAATACAGCAACCGATGCTTTACTGGTACGTTGGCTATGCTCGTTTCGAAGATGGCGCAGGTCACTCACATCACTACAGATCTGGTGTGACGTCATGACAACTGCTGTTGCTTTTCTTACTCTGAAACGTCAGTGTTGCTGCGATTGATGGGCCTAGATAGCGAGAGTGAGCATTCTGCTACACTTTTTGAAGGGAATTAAAATATATTCTACGTGTTTGTTGTGTCCTACCCTTCGTGTGGAGAGTCCTTATATACAGAGGAAATCCACAACAAGCTTGGGATAGCCTCGAAATTTGGTGGCACCACCTCTTTAAGTTCCTATATGCATGTCTCTGTGAGGTACAAGCACCGGGAATAAAGGCAGAAGTGCAGATTCTCAGCATGCTAGTACTGGTCCTGGCAGCGCTTTCATAGAACAACATGGCGACATAATGCAATGCAGTCGAATGCAAGAGGTTGCTAAGTAGGCTCTCACTTTTGGCTACAGATGTTTATATATCAGTTTCTTGTGGTTATATTTGAGCCTAACATGGTGTCACCTTTTTCAGATATCCTGATACATGACACTATGGTCGTGCGATGATCACAGTGTGAGCAAATTGATTACATGCATATGTAGTGATTAAATGTACGTGAGGCATGACATGGCTTCTTGTGCTTCAGATGAATATATAAGCCCGACTATAAAGCACAAGTGAAATTTGATGTCTCTCATAGTTGGATACATTCACCCCGGAAGCAGCATTGAGTGTTTCACATCTCATCTATGTTTCAAGCTTGCCCTATTCCACATGTGCTAGTAGGAGATTTCCAATGTGGGGCTCTGCTTCGATGAACACATGCAGCAGGGACATGGCTGATTGGGCTAAATCATGACTAGTGACCATCAATAATTAATCCTGCACTTTCATTCATGGCTCATTATACAGCATCTGTCTGCACATTTGTTTTGTCTCTAGAAATTTCTTTTGTCTATCACCTGCTGGTGTGCAGATCTAGAAACGGATAGAAGTGACCATCTCCCGATGCAGATACAATTAAAAGGATTCTATCATTTACTTCCCCGTTCTGTACGAAGCATACATTGGCAAGCCGTCCAAACACCTGTGGATATTCAATGTGGCAACACTCAATGTATTTGTGAAATATAAGGTATTAAAGCATCAGCCTTGACAGTAAATACTAGACTCGTCAGTGTACCAAGAACCTAGATCCCAGATTGATGCACAATACAAACACCTTCTTACAATCTGTCACCCCACAGAAAGTGCAGGAGGATGCGAACATTGTCAGGCCTGCCTACATCTCGCCAAGCATGGTGACAAGTACTTCGACACCTTAATAAGCTAACAGCAAGGTTGGAAAATGTTTTGTGCTTCTCTGGACCTCGGGAAGCTCCTATTATGAACATGATTGGTTGTAAAAAGCCTTCAGGCGCCTACGCTATAGTTTTTTTCATGTCCAAGGTGTAGCCCTAAAGCAAGGTGGGAGTGAAATAGAAATAACAGAACATTGTCAATTGCTTGTAGGCACCTTCGACTGCGAATACCCCCTCTCTTCATTGTAGACAAACTGACCACGCTGTGCCTGCTCAGAATGCCTCATACTCACAGCCATACATCCCAATAGGCCTTGCACCAACAGTCATCCCTGAAGTGCCACTGTGGAACACTCGTGGCATACTGTAGACCTCTGGCGCCCTTTGAAATAACTGGGATTTTGCAGCAATTGCATGTTCCTTGTGCAGGCCTGAAGCAACTCACCCTGACATATTTGACTGAGCCATACAAAGACTCTATACACGTATAAACTGACGAGTCTGTGACTCCCTGCGATTCGATTGTGGCCTGTGTGATCCCTCAACAAGATATCTCCCGGCAGCATGAATTTCACCATAAGTCCTCGTCAAAAGCAGCAGAATCGGCTGCTATACGGCAAGCTGTTCAATTTGTGTCCCACCAAACCACACAAATACAATACTTTCTTATGCAAAATCTTCTTTGCAAACCTTTGAGTCTTGCTCAAGGAGAGGGCACTATTACATATTGGCTTTGAAATCATGCAGGCATTCAATCTCACACAATGAAATAGTCACACTGTTATCTTGCGATATTTGGGAACTGTGGCTTGGCAGGCAATGAACAAGTGATGCTGCAGCAAAAGCTGCTGTGGGTGACAGTGCCATTCACATGAAAATTCCATACTCACAAAGTGACGTGAACTTTTGTTGAGATTTCTTGTATCAGAGTTCACAGCAACCTATCTGTCTAACCCAGACCATCAGAGCAGCTGTCTGTGGGAAACACCCTCATGTGACTTTTCACCTCCCAGCTAATGTAAACCAAGGCGACATCAGTTTGCTATACTGAATTAGACTGTTTGTCGCCTTCACTGAACACCATGCGCGCCTTGTCGGCCATGCGGACAGCCCCTACTATGAGCACTGCCAAGTAAGACAGTAACACATCTATTGCGCAAGTGCCCTCTATACATGTTCTAACGGAAGATGCTGGCTTCAAAGTTGGCAGGTGTCAGAGTGAAAACCCTTAGTGAAACTAATCTTTTGTTCACAATGTCTGACCAGACAGCAACATCAACTGCTACAAAGGGAATTATAAGCTTTCTGAAGAGGAATGGACTTGACACTAGAC